TGGGGTCCCTGAGGAATCCTATGGGTTCCCTTAGGAATCCCACTGGGGATCCTATAGGAATCCTGTTGGAATCCTATAGTAATCCTATGGGATCCCTTAGGAATCCTATGGGATCCCTTAGGAATCCGATGGGATCCCTCAAGAATCCTATAGGATCCCTTAGGAATCCTATAGGATCCCTTAGGAACCCTATGGGGATCCTATAGGAATCGTACGGGAATCCTATGGGATCCCTTAGGAATCCTATGGGATCCCTTGGGAATCCTATGGGGTCCCTGAGGAATCCTACTGGGATCCTATGGGAATCCTATTGGAATCCTATAGGCATCCTATGGGATCCCTTAGGATTCCTATGAGATCCCTTAGGAATCCGATGGGATCCCTGAGGAATCCTATAGGATCCCTTAGGAATCCTATAGGATCCCTTAGGAATCCTATGCGGATCCTATAGGAATCGTATGGGAATCCTATGGGCTCCCTTAGGAATCCTATGGGGATCCCTTGGGAATCCTATGGGGCCCCTTAGGAATCCTATGGGATCCCTGAGGAATCCTATAGGATCCCATGGGATCCCTTAGGAATCCTATGGAATCCCTAAGGAATCCTACAGGATCCCTTAGGAATCCTATGGGGTCCCTTAGGAATCCTATGGGAGCCCTTAGGAATCCTATGGGATCCCTGAGGAATCCTGTAGGGTCCCTTGGGAATCCGATGGGGTCCCTGAGGAATCCTATGGGATCCCTTAGGAATCCTACTGGAATCCTATAGGAATCCTATGCGGATCCTAAAGGAATCGTATGGGAATCCTATGGGATCCCTTAGGAATCCTATGGGGATCCTATGGGTATCCCTTAGGTACCCTGAGGAATCCTATGGGATCCCTGAGGAAGCCTATGGGATCCCTTAGGAATCCTATAGGAATCGTATAGGAATCCTATGGGATCCCTAAGGAATCCTATAGGAATCGTATAGGAAACCTATGGGATCCCTAAGGAATCCTATGGGATCCCTGAGGAATCCGATAGGGATCCCTCAGGAATCCTATGGGATCCTACCAGGACCCCTTCCGCGGCCGCGGAAGGGTTGCTGGGGTTGCTGGGGTTGCTGGGGTTGCTGGGGTCCCCCCGGGCCGGTCTAATCGTCCTCATTCAACAACAACAACAACAACAACACCAACAACAACAACAACAACGCAACAATCATAATTCTCACAACGAATTCCTGATTCAGCCACTCACCCAAGGACAATGAATGACCGTTCGGCCCCCTTACTCTGACAAACACCGGAACGATTGGCGCTCAATGTGGCCCAGCCGCAAATGCGAAACTGACATCAACACATCTCGAAATTTGCGCTCGATGAATACCGTGACAAATGTCGGAAGAAACCGTAACCAATGTCGTTTCACACCGAAAGAGATCGCGACGGAACATGATACACACCGATGTCGTTGGATATCAGAACCTCTGTTTTGATACTGGCATTGTGTGGACACCGGATCTGGTGTCCTCCGGTTTCGTCCGATTCAGGGGCCTGCCAATTTTGATTGAATTTGTTTTACATCTTTTCTTCGATGTGAATGCTCATCGATTTTTTGATCCAAATCCTGAAATCAGATCCCTCTGGATTTCTTCAATATCTTTAGAGAAGGTAACGCGTTCTGTCTGGAACGGTCGTACTTTCTGTTTGGAGCGGGCGCACCTTGATTTGTGGAACGGTCGCACATTACTTTTGGAACGTTCGCATGTTATTTCTGGAACTTGCGAAACTTAATCCTAAACATCTTGTTCCCAATCTTTGCATAGAACGGTGCAACTGTTTTCGGAATGCTGCCTTGTTTTCTTCAACGTTGAAATATTTTTGGAGCGCCGGATCAATTTCCGGATTGGCACTCTTCCTAGAGATCTACCCCATGCGCGCCTCCTCTTGCGCTGACGAACTGCCAGGCCTGCCATGCCTTGGGAGCCTGGCGCAAATAATGACAGTAGCCCCTGCGCACCCGTTAGCGTCAAAGATGCAGTGGAGGCCCGACCACAAGAAACCGTCCACAAGAAACCCAACCCTGAGACCCCAGGACGTCCATTGATTTTTGGCGTGGGAACGTCGCGCTTTCCATAACAAAACAACCGAAACCCAAGAAACCTAGGGCACCCTGGAGGCAAGCAGGGTGTTTCTTGGCATGGGTCTCCACTTATTCCACGCCTGCCACGCACTGAGAGCCTGGCGCAGATGGAGATCCCACCCTTTGTAGTCCCCCTGCCTGCCTGCCTGGCCTGCCACGCCCTGGGAACCTGGCGCCAGTAGAATCCCCAACACCTGGAACACCATCCGCGTGAATGTTTTTTTGCCATTTTGCCAAAGCATTGATTTCAATGCTGCGTCCCACGGCCCCTCCTCCCTCCTGTTCCTCCACTTCTTTGCGCGCGTAGTGTAGACATTATGCAGTCGTTTAGAATCGATACGCCGACGTAGGTGGTCTGGGTCTGACGGCGCACATATTGGATTTGACGGTGCACTTGCGGTTGTCACTTTGTTGGAAAACATTCGAAAGACATGTAATTCGACATTGCGTACAATACCTACGATATGATTCATAACATATTCCTGGACATCAAGCGGTCACTGCAGCATCTCGGGGCACGGGGCCAACATGCACCAGGAGAGATACGCGTCGCTGCATGTACCGACCTTTGCAGGAACAGGTTATACAAACAATGTCCCGAACTCCATTTCCATCAGACACTGTCTGCCCAAGGCGAAAGAACTCAACTCAATGCCACCTGATAACCTCGGGGTATCCCTTCATCTGTGGCACTCTCCAACCATGCTCGTTCCAGCCCAATCGGCCCTTGCTGTTGATGTTCCGCAATCAAAAAAGCGAGGTTCGAATTCGGATGGCGCGATCTTGACGTGTGTGAGCTGTCCAGTTTCACCAAAATCACTTCGCTTCCATTGATTGCTACCATGGAGGAGCATTTGAAACGCAACTGGAAAAGACGTCGTCATCGACTCTGCCACAATCCTGTATGAGAATTCCAAATTGTCGTACTCAAGTGTCGGTTCGTAACGGAAGGCATTGGTTTCAGGAACAGGCACCGTTTCTACAACGAAAACCACCACATTTCAGGAACGAGCGCGACCGGTTTCAATAATCACGGACCCCGCTCCAAAAACAAGCGCACCTTGTTTCAATAAGTTGAGGCATGATTTGGTAAAAGCGCGACCCGATTCAGTCATCAGAGGTCCATTTTACATTCAAACGCGACCAATTTCAATATTAATACGGCCCGTTCAAGCCAACGCGGGTTTCGATAATACAACACGCATGTTAGTGTAAAGGGCCACGCGGGGTTCGATGCCTGGCCTCACTGGTTGCAATGTGATACGCTGCCAGAATGTTATTGGGGGCCTTGACTGGTAAACTGCACATGACCGGCATTCCCTCCGCCAATGTAGCCACGAATGACAAACACAATTCTGACGATCGGACCCCGCATGAAATTAACTTTAGCTTGCCTAGGAATCTCCTCCAGACCCTCCTCTCTCCTCCTGCCTCCTCCTTCTCCTCCTGCCTGCTCCTCCTCCTCCTCCTGCCTCGTCCTCCTCCTCCACATGCCTCCTCCTGCCTCCTGCCTCTTCCTCCTCCTCCTCCGCCTGCCTCCAACTGCCTCTTCCTCTTCCTTCTCCTCCCCTTGCCTTCCTCCTCCTGCTTCCCCCTCCTCCTCCAACTGCATTATTGTGCTGCCTCCTTCTCCTCCTCTTGCCTCCCCGGCCCCTCCTCCCCCTGCATGTCCTCCTTATCGTGACTCCTCTCTCTCCTCCTCGTTCTCCTCCTCCAGCATCCTCCTTCGCTTCCTCCTCCTCTTCCTCCTTCTCCTCCTCCTCCTCCACCTCCTCCTCCTCCCTCTCCCCCTCCCCTTCTCCTCCCTCCTCCTCCTCCTCCTCCTCCTCCTCCTCCTCCTCATCTTGCCTCCTCCTCCTCCTCGTCCTCATCGTGCCTCCTCTTCCTCCTCTGGCCTCCTCCTGGGGTCGCCTGCTCTCTCCCAAGGCCTCTTGTTGCCTCGTGAAGCCTACTGGGGTGCTCATGGGATCTCCTGGGGCCTTCTGTGTCCTCCTGTGAAGGCCCGGGGCCTCCCACGACTTCCTCGGGCTTCCTGGTGCCTCCTTTGACTTCCTGAGGCCCCCTAAGCTTCCTGTGGCTTCCTGAAGCCTCCTGGGGCTTCCTGCTGCCATCTAGGGCACTCCGAGGACTCCCGCTCGAGACTTCCCCGCAATTCCCCCCAAGACGAGGCTCCCGCTCGAGACGTCCTTGCGATTCAATCACAAAGGAGGCTCCCACTCGAGACTTCGTCAATCTGAATATATGTGTGAGTGTGCGAGTGTGTGAGTGAGTGCGTGCGTGTGAGTGAGAGCGTGAGTGAATGCGAGTCTGTGAGACAAAAACAGAACAAGAGAGACAGAGATAAAGAGAGAGCGAGAGAGAGAGAGAGAAAGAGATACAGCATATGCTGGTATGCGACATGATGATGGTGATGATGATGCTGATACTGATGACAACGATGATAGTGATGAGTGGTTAGATGATGATGCTACTGATGAAGATGATGCTGCTGCTGATGGTGATGACTAGGGATGGTGACTAGTGATGGTGATGGTGATGGTGATGATGCTGATGATCATGCTGATCATGATGATGCTGATGATGCTGATGCTGCTGAAGATGATGATGATGATGATGGTGATGATGATGGTGATGTGGGGTGGGTGTTCCTGCGCAGGTGTGCACAAGAAAACAATCCTCTGTGGACTTGGGACAAAGGTTTAAGATGAGGAGGGGAAGACGGGAGGCGAAAGAGGAGGATGGCTAAATTCACTTTCTTGCTCGCTGTCGCAACTCATCCCAAAGTCCGACGCGCTGCTGCACAGCATCGCGCCCGCTCGCAGTGAAGCAGAACGTCTGCACAGGACTCTGCGGCGCTCTGGAATACAGGCGAAGCGATCATCCTCCCGTGGAGGCATCCTCGGTGGGGCTTGAACGAAATAGGACCCAATATTGCAGTGCATCGGTCGGCTCGAAAGCAACTCGGGTTTTGGATAGCGCCGCATTCCAGACACGATGCGATCTTGAGGCCCCACTTACTCAGACCCTGTTTAGGATGCCTAGATGCCCTCCTTCACTGAAGAGGCCCCAGAACACACAAATAAATACACACAAATAAAAAGATTCACCATATTTTCCCATATTTTCTGGGTTTCTGTCTTCCCCCCCACTTCCCATATTTTCGCATATTTTCCTGGGGATCGACGATTAATTGTGTCTGTGTGTTTTTTCCCCTCCTGATTACTGTCCCTATCTGGTCCTTCTCTGGAATCACGACCCCCCTATGACGCAACAAATCCCATCATGCCTCTTCCCTATGGGTTCGCGCGAGACGATGTCCTCGGGCGAATATAGGTACACGAGAAGAGCCGGGTAAATGCTCCCCAAACCTGGACAAAAGACAGGACTCACCGCTCCATTCATCCGATCCGAACCGAAAAAGGCTCGCTCCAGCCTTCTCAGAAGCCCGCCGGTCTTCTGCGAAATTTTGCGTCTTCGGGGAAGGCTCAAACAAATTCTCAGACAGCCGGGGGGCTTCCTAGCCTTCTGAGAAGGCCTTCGCCTTCTCACTCCCCCCCCGCGCTCGCCGCCGATTCAAAGGGGGGCGCATACTGCCAGTCAGTGCTTCTGGGCCCCGTCCCCCCACTCTTCCTTCGACGTCGGCGCGCGCAGCAGCCTTGAAACGGATGCCGGCTGCAGCCTGCCTTAATCGAATTCCTGCCGCCGCGAGCGCCACTGGCGAGGGTGGCGATTCTCCCACGGGATGTCAGGAGGAGGAGGACGAAGAGGAGTAGGAGGGAGAAGGAGGAGGGAGGAGGAGGGAGGAGGGAGGAAGAGGGAGGAGGGAGGAGGAGGATGAGGGAGGGAGGGAGGGGGCCCATGTTGGCGAGGGGAGGGAGGAGGGATGGGAGGGAGGGGAGGGGGAAGGGGTCCAACGACACACACACACAAACAAACCAGCCCGGACAAGAACGGGAAGCGTCCTTCTGTGTCCTGGGCTTATGAGATATCCTGCGTTCTAGTATGCGCTGCGCAAGTCTGTCGTGGCGTGCGTGCGTTTGCGCGTGCGCGTGCGTGCGTGGAATGTGCATGTGCGTACGTGCGTGGTGGTCTGCGGCACTGCTGTGTTATGCCATGCTGCCCTGCCGTGCTCTTGCGGTCTGCGTGAACGTATGTTGCCTCTGTGTGTGCGTGTGTGTATATATATATATATAGATATATAGATATGTCTGTGTGTGCGTGTGCGTGTGCGTGTGCCTGTGTGCGCGTGTCTATGTGCGTGTGCCTGTGGGTGCGGCTGTGTGAATAGATGTTCTATGTGTTCTGTCGTGTTCCTGCGCGTTCTGCCGTGCTCTTGTGCGTTTTGCCGTGCTCCTATGTATTCTGCCATGGTCCTGCTCTGCCGTGCTCCTATGTGTTCTGCCATGCTCATGTATGTTCTGCCGTGCTCCTGTGTGTTCGGCCGTGCTCCGGCTTGTTCTACCAAACCTGTGTGTTAAAGTTAAAATTAAAATTGAAGACGGGACGTTCAAGGCACAAGGAAAAAAACAAACAGGACGCGGACAGGGCCAGACGGGACAACCGTTCCCGAAAGAAGCCGAGTCCCAAGCAGAGCGTGCCACGCGTGCCTACTCAACACCAGGAGCAACACACGAGAGCGAAACGATGCTTATTCTTCACTCACTCACGGACGGCGGGCCGCGGTGCGCCAGACGGCGGCTGACCCTGCGGCTCACCTGGCCGCCGCTCGCCGTGCTGCTCGCGGCGGCTAACCTCCCTTCGGTGGCTCCGTGCATGCCGAGACGCTCCGCTCCCTTCGAGGCTGGCTGCTGCAGGGGCGTGCTGGCAGCCGCCATCTCCGCCGCCAGCACTGCCGCGGGAGCAGCTGGGCCTCTGCCTGAGCTGCTGGCTGCAGTCGAGGCCCCGCCTGCGGACTCCGCCTTCATGCCGAACCACTCCAGGTAGCACTCCTGGGCATGTCCTGGCACTAGCCCGTGCGAGCGCAGTGCGGGGATGCCCTCTCCCTTCGCTCTCTGCTTGTCCGCTCGTGGCCTGCCTCCAGGATGGAGCCCTCACACCCGCAGGCTGCGCCTGTTCCTGCCCGCCTTGCTCGCCTTGTCACCTGGGCACCGCTCCTTCAGGCGAGGCTTGGCTCCTGCGCGGCTGCCCAGCACCTTGTAGGCCCTGCGCCTGGAGCAGGCCACGACCTCCTGGGCGTCTTCGACTGCGCCCGCGCAAGCGTAGCAGAGCGTGTGCCCCAGGATGCTGAAGGCGACAGCAACGGCCGAGATGGTAGTCGTGCTGCTCCCCGTCGAGCTGCTGCTCCGTAGGCATGGCCGCTCGGCGGGGGCGCCAACGTCGAGGGCCGCCCCAGCCAACGGAAACACCTCGGCCGTAGCGGCCTGCGCCTGGCGCTGCTCGCCCGCAGGAGGGGGCTCTTCGCTATCCTTGGCCGAGCCATCGAGGTGCAGCTTGCCGTTGAGCCTGCCGTCAGCTGGCTTGCGAATCCGGCATATACGCATCGCCCAGTGCATGTAGGAGACGTGGGCACCACGCACGTGCTGCCCCCTCACGCCCAGCTCGATGCCTGGCCGTCCGAGCAGCCGCCCGATGGCGTTCTCGAGAAATGGCCGAAGCAGGAGGGGGTCGCTGCTGAGCTTCCGCCTCTCATGGCGGTTGGGGGCCTGCCGAGCATCACGCCCATCATTTATGCTCGGCGCCTGAAGCCCGAGGAACATGGGCTCGAGCTCGTCACCGGGGTCCGCGACCTTGCACTGCCCCGACTCGAGGTACCAGCCAAACTGCTCCAGGGGCCGCACCACTGCTACGGTGGGCGAGGCACAGCGCCCCCCTGCGGCGCCACCAGCGCGCCTGGCTGCTGCCGCCTCCAAACCCCCAGCACACATCCTGCGCGGCAGCTCGGCTGACGGCAGCAGGTCCGCCATCACTGCCGTTGCCTCGAGATGCTCAAGTACTCCAACTTGGCCCACGAGGTCGCTCCACTCGCTAGTGCCGAGCTCGAGGGCCCCGAACTCGTCCTCCTCACAGGCTGCTGTGGTGGCTGTCTCCACATCGTCTAGGCAAAGCACCACCTGCCAAAAATACCGAGCCCCGCGCAAGGGCTGCCAGCGCCGCCTCCTGCCAGCTGTGAGCCTCTGCAGCGCTGCATCGAGGGCTTGGCGCAGGGCACGGGCGGGGGCCGAGTGTCGGTGGCGGTGCTCGTGCTTGACCACCGCGCAGAGAGGCATGCGGACCGCCATGGGCCCCTCGGCCTGCCTCAGCCGCAGCTTGCCTCAGCATCAGCCACTGCCTCAGCCTCAGCCTGCCTCAGCTTCAGCCTCAGCCTCAACCTGCCTCGGCGTGCCTCAGCCTCAGCCTCAGCCTGCCTCGGCCTCAGTCTGCCTCAGCTCGGGCATTCAAAACATGACACAAAACTGGTGTTCTGGGAACACGAAGATCACGAAGTGGCCCACAGTGGGCTCCGGGCAATCAAAATATGGTACAGGAATTGTGTTCCGGGAGCACGAAAAACACGAAGTGGCCTACAGTTGGCTCCGGGCATTCAAAATGTGGCCTGGGAGTGGCGTTCTGGGAACACGAAGAACACGAAGTGGCCTACAGTTGGCTCCGGGCATTCAAAAAGTGGCTTGGGAGTGGTGTTCTGGGAAGACGAAGAACACGAAGTGGCCTACAATTGGCTCCGGGCATTCAAAATGTGGCCTGGGAATGGTGTTCTGGGAACACGAAGAACACGAAGTGGCATACAATGCGGAATCTGCGGCGGAGGGGTGGGGGGCAGGGAGGGGGCGAAGGCAAGCTAGGTGCGCTCGCGTCAACATCTGACATCCTACCCCTCCCTCCCATCCCTTCCCATTGAGCTACTTCATTGTCCTCTCACCGAATCGGGCTTCGCATCTGACCCTGTTACCTAAGAGGGAAAGGAGGAGGACGACGGCGCGATGAAAACGAAGACGACGACGACGAAGACGACGACGACGACGACAACCACGACGACGACGACGACGGCGGCGACGACGACGACGACGACGATGAGGACGACCGGCGACGAAGACGACGACGACGACGCGACCGCGCCGGAGCGGCACCCGCGCCAGCTGCCCGCTGCCGTTACGCGCGTCCCCCACCCGGATCTCAAATTTCTGCAGGGGTGAAAGGAGAGTAGCATTCATATTGGGTAATGGTAGAGTGGGTCCGATGTCAGATGAAAACCAAACTCCCGGGAATCCTGTGCGGAAAAGGACGCCGCCCAAAAGGGGGGGGGGCTTTCTGCGGCCCCAAAAATCAACGAATCGACACCGGATGTGTAATCACCTCCAATGTTTTTGCCGGGGATCATTTTCTAGATTTGGGGCTTCTTAAAAAGGATCGAAAACGTCGGCGCTGCAGCGGGAGCACGTTTTGGAACAACGAGAGGCGCAGAAATTGGGCCAGCGCTGCAGCGGGAGCACGATTCGGAACGAGCGGGAGCGCGGAAATGAGGCCAGCGCTGCAGCGGGAACACGATTCGGAAGGAGCGGGAGCCCGAAAATTAGGCCAGCGCCTCAGCGAGAGCAGCATTTTAGAAAAAAACACAAGCGAAAACCCAACTCCGGGGAATCCTGTGTGTAAAAAAACAGTACGCGGGGGGGTGCCGAACATCTTCCGGACGCCATCAGGGGAAGTGGGAGAGTAGTATTCATATTGCGTAATTGTAGAAGGCGAAGGAGGAGGTGAGGGAGGACCAGAAACTCCTTTCTTCGCAAATATCATGTAGCCTTCGGGGCGACATGGGGACTCGGCAAACACCAAATTACGTACACTGCAATCACGTGGTTAATTACCAAGAAGACCCGATCGCGCAGACGCCCGCTCTGCCTTTCACGCGGAAGACCTTTCCGGGCATTTGCCAGTCCACATGCCATCACGCAAGGAAGAGCCATTGCGAAATGTGCGATTGCGGAACAGTCTCGCCCGACCCGCGGCAGCCGATCAAGGACAGCTCCACTGCCTGTGACACCCTCTAGCTTCGATCCAGTGCCTCGCTGGAGAAGCCACCAAAATAAGCCAGGCCCCCAAGGGAACGCCATGGGGGGAATGGTGTCTTAGAATCCGACCCCCCCTCCACGCACACAGAACGCTTTCAGATCCTCTGTCAGGGTTCCCAGGCAGTCCCAGGAGAGGCATGTTTCAAGTGCCGCCCTCAGCGTTCTGAGACCCTGCGCCTGAGATCTTGGGTAAGACAACCTCGAGTCGCAAAAAGCAGCCCCTGGACCGGCTTGCTCCGCGAGCAAGTGAAGGGAAACTGGGACACACAAATAAATACACACAAATAAAAAGATTCCCCATATTTTCCTATATTTTCTGGGTTTTTGTCTTCCCCACCACTCCCCATATTTTCCCATATTTTCTGGGTAATCGACGATTAATTGTGTCTGTGTGTTTTTTTCCCTCCTGAGCAAGCTCTGGGAATGCAGACCTTGAACATTTGGTCGGCCCGCCGGCGGTGACTTGACTTGGAGCACGTTTTCGCTTCCGCTGGCCCCGCCAACACCTTAACATCGTTCGGACGTCCATTCCATGTGCATTTTCAGATACCGTGCATGTTTTGTTTGCTCAATGATCAGAGGCCTCCTAGATGGGGTCCGAAGAAGTGGGGTCGGAGGATTTCGCCGCATCGCCGATACATCGGCGATGCATCGGCCATGCCCTGGCGACGTCGGCGTTGCATCCGCGACGGCGGCGTGGAGAAAATCGGGCCCCATACGGAGGAGCCACTTCGCCGGTGCATCGGCGATGCGGCGCGATCCTCTGGCCCCATCTGCTCCGACGCCATCAAGGGTTTTGTGGGCCCCGGAAACGGCAAGGCCGTTTTTTCACCGTTTCCAAAAAAGTGTCCCTTGAAAATGGAGACCGCAAAAAAACGGCGACCGGAAACGGCAGCAAAAACGGCTCCAGGATTGGAGACGGGGCCGGAACCGGTCAACAAACGGCGACGGGACCGGTAAAAAAAACGGCGTCGGAACCGGCAACGAAAACGGCAGAACGGAACCGGAACAAAAACCGGCCCTGTCGTTTTCAGGGCCCACGAGGGCGCAGAATGGTCAAAGATGCTCCTCGCCCAGAAAAGGCGCACACGCCCCCGAGAGCGATGCCAGGGCACGAGGTGCCCGCGCCCTGTCCCTGCCGACCTTCCCCACCCCACGCCTCCCTGGCAGCAAGCGTCCCCCCTCTCTGCCCTCCGAGGCACCCCGGGGGCCACGCGGTGAGCCGCAGGGATCCAAGCCCTGGGTGCCCCCCTCCTCCTCCTCCTCCTCCTCCTCCTCCTCCTCCTTCTCCTTCTCCTTATCCTCCTCCTCCTCCTCCTCCTCCCTCCTCCGCCTCCGCCTCCTCCTCCTCCTCCGCCTCCTCCTCCTCTTCCTCATCCGTCTCGGCCTCCGCCTCCGCCTCCGCCTCCGCCTCCTCCTCCTCCTCCTGATCTCTGCCATCCGAGGCACCCCGGGGGCCGCGCGGTGAGCCGCAGGGATCCAAGCCCTGGACGCCCCTTCTCCCCTGTGGGGGCCTGGCTGATAGAAACCGCCCGCCGAGTCTTTCCCCAGATGCCTCGCCCGCTCTCGCGTGGCGGCGCGGAAGGGGGCGCAGGGCGCGGGGGGCATGAATGGGCACGGCCTTGGAAGACGGCAGCGGGTCATCTGAGAAGGGATCGGCACCCTCTCAGAAGCTTCTGCGAGGGCCTTTCAGGAAAGTCGGCGAGCTTCCAAGAGGCCTGGCGCCTCCTTGGAAGCAGCCCCCGACCCAAATCCGCTCAGAACCAATCCCCTGGACCCCTCCACGGGTCTGTCCTGGCTCGTTGTCCGAGCCGCGCCCGGCCGCAACCAAAAGACCCACAAACCACTAGCAAAAACAACGTACTAACAAAACGCTGCATGAGCATACATTGGCGGCGCGCACAAGGGGGAGAAGGCTTCTTGGAAGGAGCCTGCTTCTTAGAAGGCGCCGGCCCTGTATCTATTTAGAGGAGGCCCGCGCCTCCTGATAAACAGGGGTGCTTCTAACAAGCCTGCCCCCCTCCCCCTATACACCCCCTCTGCGCGTGGCCATGGAGATGCGCGCAGATTTCTTGCGTCGGCGCTGGGCCCCTCTCCCTGCACTCCTGTCCTGGCGCGCGGAGCACGCCGAGGGCGCTCGCGTGGGGCGCAAGCTGCTGGCTACCGCTTGCGAGTGGATAGCCTGTCGCTCCGCTCCGCGGGGCGGGAGACTCGGAAGAGCTCGGGACGCTGACGCTTGGGTGCTGGGACGTCGATTGCGTGCCGTGCCGAATCGGGGATCTGCTGACCCGGGTCGATCCAAACCCAGGTCAGCCAGGCTTTTTGCAGGGCCCTGCGCCCATTCCCGGGCCAGTGGCCCATGCGACCCTGGCCCCGCAGGACCCTGCAAGATCCTAGGGCTCCCAACTTCGCGCTTCGCGCTCCGCGAAGCGCGAATAACTTCGCGCCCTCGCGCCGCCCCCCCAAAGGGAGAAAAGGAGGACGAGGAGGAGGGGGGAGAAGGAACGAGGACCGCGAAGCGCGAATAACTTCGCGCCCTCGTGGGAGCCCTTGAAGATCTGGCGCTCTTGCATCGACCCCCGCTTGCCTCGACCCCCGTCTCCTGAGGCCCCGGCCCGAAGCGTGGTGGGTGGGAGCCGGCGCAGCGGCACGGCAGGCCAGCGTGCCTGGCCGTGGCCGCCCTTCGAGGCCACGCGGCCCCGAAGGCCGCCAGCCACGAGGCGCGCGGGGGGGCTCACGAGGCCCTTCGAGGCCACGAGGCCGCCGGCCACGAGGCCCCGAAGCCGTCGGGGGGGGGGCTCACGGTCTCGGCGCGCGCCCCCCGCGGGCCCCCCTGGCAGAGCGCGCCGTTGGCCTCGAGAGGCCGCCATGGTCCGTGGCCTCTGCAGTCCGGGGTTTGGGCTTGCTCTGCGAGTCGGCGTCTGCGGGGTGCGCCGCGGCTCGGATCGATGCGCGCGGCTCGGATCGATGCGCGCGGTCGCCTCCCCCGAGGTCACGGCCCTTCCTGCCGGGCGGCGCAGCCGCTCGGGGCGGATCCAGCCGCGGCGCGGCGAACCCCCCCCGGAGGCCCATGTGCAGGGCGATAGCGCACGGGAGGAGGAGGAGGAGGAGGAGGAGGAGGAGGAGGAGGAGGAGGAGGAGGAGGAGGAGGCCTCCCAGATGGGGTCCGGGTAGATGGGGTCGGAGGATCGCGCCGCACCGCCGATGAATCGGCGATGCATCGGCGATGCATCGCCGACGTCGGCGACGCATCGGCGACGTCGGCGTGGAGAATATCGGGCTCCACATCGAGCCGCATCGCCGATGCATCGGCGCTGCGGCGCGATCCTCCGACCCCATCTAGCATCTACGGTAGGGGCTCGACCACAAGAAATCTTCCACAAGATACCCAACCCTGAGACCCCAGGACGTCCACTGACTTTGGGTGTGGGAGCGTCACGCCCTCCATAGCAAAGCCATCGAAACCCAGGGCACCCTGGAGGCAAGCAGGATGTTTCTTGGCATGGGCCCCCACTGTAGGAGGCCAAGAGAGGCTCAAACCTCCAAGGCCCTGGGCGCGGCCCGATCGGGGGCGCGTTGACCCGGGCCGGCCAGGGCCATTCCGCGAACCCCCGCCGGCCACGGAGTGACTCCTGGACCAGGTGCGGAAGACTTGGATGCCAGGATTTCCCAACTAGAAAGGGAAAAGCACGCGCCACACACATAGGTATACACACGTGTTCACACAAACAATATATATATATATATACACACATAGTAGATGTATAAACTTTTGTGTTGGCACTCCGCGCGGAGTTCTTGGAGCTGCGCTGGACCCCCTCCCTGGCGCGCGGAGCGCACCAGGGGCGGCGCCGGAGGCGCCGCCGGGGGGGGTCAGCGCAGATCCAATCGGTGGTTCAAAGACGGGGTCCTGAGGGATGGGGACCTGAGGATGGGAAGGGACCCAAGGGCGGACGCACGCTGCGTCACGCAGCTCGTCCTCAGGACCCCGTCCCTCGAGGGCCCCGCCTGTGAGCCGCCGATCCGAGAACTCCGCGGTGGAGCGCCCAAACGAAAGCTTTGTGT